GTAAGTGGTTGAGCATCCAACTTTTTTCGTTTGGTCTTAGAAGAAGCAGGCACATGCAGGCCATCTGGTAACATGGGCCAACGACTTTGGGGGCATATACAGGCAATATGCTATCAGAGCTTGTGTTTAGTTCGGCATGTTCTTTGTTTTGGCGCATCATCAGGTCAGCGAGGCATTGCCGACTTTGGTGGTGGTTTCGTGCGTACCTTAGGCAGCTTACTTATTTTTCCATGTGCTGTTTACTGTTGTGACATTTCAGAGCTCAACTAGCTCACAGAATGCGTAGATAGCCACTCTTGTGACTACCGATTGCTTCCGCTGGCGCACGGCCGGCATGCCCTCGCCTTGGTGACGTGACAGGCTAAGCAATGAGACCCTGTACTCCACGGCTGCCAAAGCTATATATTCAAAGCTGCTGTCTCACTGCAGACGTTTTCAAAGATTGGGCAACGCGAGTTTTCAAAATATTATGCCATTTTGCTCGTGAACAATTGTCTCGCAATTGCTTCGGCGAAGCTTTGTGTGCACAACGCAAGTATGTCATTTGGCCAATAAAACAACCTTGCTTCCTCAATCTTTCGTTTTTTGTTTCTTTTCTCTCGCGCATGCAATTAGCAAGGCACAAGGCACAACAAAATCGCATAATAATATAGGCACGTAACAAGTCGGCAATAAAAAAAATTCTGATTTCGCGCCATGTAGAGCAAGTGCACAACGTCACTACCGCTTTCAGTAGTGACGTCACATTTAGTTTTTATTTATCTATTATTATTATTATTATTCGCTGTTAGTTGTCTCCTCCTCACGTAGATGGCGATGGTGGCGACGAGCTGCCGACTACAGGATCCATGGGCTTCTATGGAAGTTACGCTACCAGTTTACATACAGTGAAAGCTCGTTAATTCTAACTTTTATAATTCGAATTTATGAATAATGCAAACCCTTAGTTGTGGTCCGGCCAAGCTCCATACAAGCCTATGAATAAAAAAAGCCTGTTAATTCAAACGCGAGTAGGTTCCGCCGCGCATAACTCCAATTACGCGCCACTGCGCCGGCAGCTTGTCTAGTCGCTCGATAGGGCGGCTGCCGAGTTACGAGGCGGCGTTGACAGGGAGCGGAGAGAAAAACGGAGAAACTGGCACGAAGGCCAGAGTGCAGAAAACAGCGCCACTTACTCTCCACCCCCTCCCCCCACAATCTCTCTCGGCGGCTGCCTGCTCTCCATTCTACGTAACCTCCAAGATTTGTTTTCTTTTTTAAGCGCCAATCTCTGAGCCTTTGAAAATGCTGCGTAGTGGTCACAGTTAGACGACAGATGGCATGACCAGCACACAGCAAATAGGGTGCGTCGTAGCTTCGCCCAGCCTTTTCTGCAGTCTCTGTCTCGGGCGTGCGTCGTACAGCTCGGTTGTTGGTGCTGGGAGTAGCTTTCGACTGTCGCGATTCTTTGTGTTGGTGTTAGGCCTCGGCTAATGTTTGTTGCGGTAGCGCTGGTAGTAGCTTCCCATCTGTCGCGATTCTGCTGCTCCGACTTGATGGCATGCGCCCACGGCAAATACCGCGCCAAAACACTTCCTTTCAGCAAACACGACAAGCTGGCCTTCTTTTCAGCAAACACGACAGCGGTACTGCAGCCCATGGACCAGGGTATAATTAGAAATTTAAAATCATTTCATCGGCGTCATATGTTGGAACAAATTATTTTGTGCAATAACTACCAAGTGACGCTTCTAAGTGCACTACACATACTTGTGCGTGCTTGGGAGCAAGTGACAGCGCTTACGATAGCAAATTGCTTTCGCCACTGTGGCTTCAGCACAGAAGCTCTACAAGCTGGCGAGCCACCAGTGCTCGAACACGGCGTCACCGCCCCCATGGCGGACGTTTTGGAAGACGTCTGCTTTGCGGGCTACGTCGATGTGAACTCAAGTGCAGTGGTGTGTGGTGCAGTCACGGATGGGAACATAATATGTCAGGTGAGAAGTGCAGAACCTGTCGCTGCGAGTGACGACGAGGAGAAGGATGAAGCACCAGTGCGGCCCTCTGCTGCAGAAGTCACGGCCGGATTGAATGCCACCGGTTTTGAAGAAGGCGGAGAAGAGGCCTTCTGCCAAATTCGCTCGTTAGAGCAAAAAGTGTTGGCTGTCGCCTTCAAAAAAAGAAGGCAGACAGTGATCAGATTTTTTTCAAAAATAAATTGTTATGCCCTACTCGCGGTGTACTATTGTTCTTCACTTTCGTTAGATCGAACTTTCGTTAATTTGAACTGAGGCAGCTTTCCCTTGCGGTTCGAATTAACGAGCGTTTACTGTATACCCTGGCGTACGGAATTGTCGAAGAAAGGATTAGGTGACTTACAACCCCAGAGGTTTCGGCTCCACGAAGCTTTATATCTCGACGTTGAAGACTCTCTGCTGGCGTGGCTTTGCGACCCCAGTCCGCAAAATATCCCCGTGGACAGATTGCTGCTACAAAAATGTGTGAAGCAACTTGCGTTCGCTCCTAATCGAGGAAAGTGGTTGGCTCAACAGAACAAAAGGTTGGTTCAACAGATTTAAACAGATGCACGGAATCGCCTTTAAGTGTCTTTGGAGAGAGTCCGCCTGCGTCAAAGACACTGTTGTTGCCGCCTGGAAAGCCCATGTTCTTCTCGTTAACCTCGAAAGCTATGCATTACGGGATGTGTCAATGCCAATGAGAGCGGTTTTCTTTATAAGTTGCCGCCTGGATAGACTGTTTTGCCAAAGACGCGTGCCATGGCGGTCCAAGGAGCGCGTTAGCGTTCTCTTTTGCTGCAATATTAATGGGAGCGGGAAAACCAAGCTCTTGGTTATAGGCAAGTCAAAAAGACAGCGATGCATGCGCAATATGCACGTTCCGGTGTACTGGGATTCGAACAGAAGCGCCTGGATGACCAATAATACTTTCAACCGAGGGTTGCCAGATTTTGACAGCAAGATGCGCCAACGAAATAGGAATGTGTTACTTTTCCTTGACAATTGCTCGAGCCACATGCACCTTCCCCTGCTTCATGCTACAAAGGTGGCATACTTCCCACCTAACACAACAATAAAGGTGCAGCCTATTGATCAAGGCATTGTACACTCAGTGAAGTCAAGGTACGGCTCACGCCTCGCTGAGCGTTTACTTTTTCGACATGCAGCAAAAGCGAGGCTTGGTCAGACCTCAGATATGCTGTGTAGGTACTTACAACTGAGTGGGCGCAGACTCAGCCACCAGTAGTGAAAAACTGCTTTAGAAAAGGCATTTTTTTTTTGTTGGTGAGTGACTGTACAGCCCCTTGCCACTGGAACGCCAACCAGATCCCAGTGTCTAACCCCCGTATTCACAAACGTTCCTAAACTCGACCTGACAGAGTTGCGCACTGCGCCGCTTCTCGGCTAAAAATCACGCTGTGCTACTCAACAATAGCAGCAAATTATCACTGATATGCAGCGTCTCTCCCTAGCTAGAGATGGCGCTCCCATCAGCTTTCTCAAGTGAAAGTGGAGCGTTGAGTGAAGGGGCATTCTAGAATACAGGGGTAAGTCAGGTGTCGAGGAGGCCTTCGGAAGACACGCGGAACTGTGGGTGACTTTGTATGTTAAGAGCAGCTGACAGGTGAAGAAATTGTTGCCAAAATTCACGGTGTGCAGAATGCAGAGCAGCTGGATGAAGACAAAAATGAAGAAGGCATTTCAAACTGTAACTGAGAAAGTGGCAACTTCTCAGGCCCTGGACTACAATCAAGGGCTGACAAACTTTTGAGCAACAGGCCACAGGTGCAGATAATGTGAACAAAAAGGAGACAATATTTACACGATTGTAAGTAGACCCATTTTTTCAAATTTGACAAACTATTCTTAGGAGGTGGATTTAGAATCAAAACCGAACCGTGTACCACTAGTAACGGCGAAATAAAACGAGAAATCAGGGGCGCTTCACCGCGATTACAACTTTGCACCTATGTTTCCATGGTTACGGCAAAAGCATAGCATATTAATTTACCATATTGCATACATTTTGAGGTAAATAAAGGTGATGCTGACTTTAAAAGAAGTTGACCACCATACTTGGAGCGATAACCCCACCACCATTGCATCCAGAAGTGTGCTGAACAACGCCACAACGCGATATAATCGCGACTCGCCGAATGGGGGGTATTGGTAGTCGACGGAAGAGCCAGAAAACAGCTCTTTGTGATGGCACTTTTTTCAGCAGCCGCGTCCCCCCGTGTTTCTGTCACTTGTGCTGTGTTTCACTGAATCGTCGCAAATATAGCCATTGTATATCCTCAGAAAGCCGTGAACTCCAGTGGGTGCGTGAGGAAGGCTTCCTTGGCTACTGTGTGCGACTGTACCACGCGATGTCGTGGTGCAGCCATTCATGTAGTGTGGACTCACAATTGATGACGACATGCTGTTTGACCGCAGCAGCTGTGGCAGCAGCAGCATCAGTGAGGACCACTCCAGCGACGATGAGTAGTGTTCATGAATAAATTTTGTTTGTGTGAACTGTGCTCGCATTTTTGTCTACATTCGAATAGACTTACAATCATGTAAATACGGTATAGTGTCTAAACCTGTCTGCCACACAGTGCAGGCAAAGCTGATAAGCGTTTTTCAAAAGATCTATGAATAAATACGTTAGTCAACGGCGTTTTGTTTGCAACTTGCAATTCTCTTCGATTATAACAGACTTCTTACTTACATAATAGTCTGTTGTGACAGTACATGGATTTAACATACTTCCTTTACAATGGACCGAAATCCTTTTCCCTATGAAGGTCTGTTGTAACGAGGTTATACTGTATAAGTAAAGTAGACTTGCACTCATACAAACACCTTATTTAATGCACAGAGTTTTGAACTAATGATCGTAACACTACACGTCGCATCTATATTGTGATGTGCGTGGAACTACAGTCCAACTCTGCTATTGCAGCAACCAACAGGCTTGGGCTAGCAGGGCCCGCATAAAAAGAAGCTTGCACCACTTACGTGATGACGCTGTACTCGTCCGAGTAAGGACGCATCGATGGCACAATCACTGCATTCGGGTACACGTCTACGTCGATTGGGAGGTCAAGGATGGAACCAGATTAAGCGACTTGGGGCAACGATCTGGTACGAAAGCCTGCGATTTAAAAGAAATACCTTTATTATCTTTGTGGAAACTTTAGCATTAACACATGATGAATGCCACCAGCTAAAAAAGCACTACAGATGACTTCCACGCAAGCAGTATTGGCCAGCAACGAGCTGCTAACGACAGAATATTACCAAAAACCAGTGAATTTTTTTAGGAAACTCAAGACCAATAGCAACAACAGATAACCATCAGATTGGCTACGCCACTGCCAGGCGTACTGCAAGGTTAAATAACAGAGCAGGCTACAAGACGCACTTCCATTGTTTATATGAGCAATCGATGTCATCGTACAGGATCAGCATGACTGCTTTCTAACAGCAGGCTAGCCAAGGCAAGTACAAGACGTACACAGGCAGCTCACGGCACAGGAAGTGCCGTGAGCTGCTCCTGCATGTACTCGTCACCAAAATACAACGGATCATCTTTGATGCATTACACGTTTTTTAGCCTAATACGTCTGTTCCTTCCTGACAAACGTATCTTGAAAATAATGCTTAATAATAACGTTTAATAATAATAATGTTTAATAATAACAGATTGTGATATTTTCCTCCTTTGAATATCTTTGGTTAATACAATTCTTGCAGTGTGTACTTCATTTTCCAGGTCCCACCAAAAAACTTTTTCAAGACTCGACTGTATAAGCATGCCTGAAAATAAGCGCTGGGTGCGATGAGCCTGTGACAACAGAACAGCTGCTTCCCCAGTGGAGCCGCACCCAATACTCACACTGGATGCCGGAAGGTGTGGCGATGGTCCGACGCAATGATGGCAATGTCCCGAGAAAGCGGACGGTAGCGCACTATGAACCTTCCCAGCTCTTCCAGCAGCTGTAAAAACGAAATAGCAAGTAGGGTTCCAATGAGAACACAGCAGGTAGACTGGAGTTATTTATGGTATGTGGCAACCATAGAGATTCCTAAAAAATGGACAAAGTCATAACAATTTACGTCAGAGTAAAATTTACGTCAGAGTGTGACAAAATTTTAAAACGACAATATTATCAACAGCAGTGCCCTACTTACAAAGAAATTAAGGTAAATGCACGAGAATACATGCGTCGCGGTAGGACATTCTCAAAATGATACCGATCACGTCAGATGAACTGCCCATAATTAATCACGTAATCAAGTAATCGATCTAGCAGCACTAAATAGAGAATCTTCTGTGCGTCGAAAGACGCAATAAAATGCTGCTTATTCGTTTCCGTTAGATTCATGGAAAAAAGAACCGCCAGACGCCACTAAGCAAAATGGCACGAGTGGTTCAAAAATTCAATTTTCGTGTGGTCACACTGGACAGGTTGATCCATCTAGCGGGGCGAACAAAAAACACATCTGCCATCTCTGAGCCAATGACAGGAAATTGATCAATGGCCATTGTTGCTGCTGTGTCTCCCGGTGCTTTCATTCCGTCTGCTAGTGTCGGCGATCGCGCAGTAAAGCTGGACAACGTTGTGCACAGCAACAGTCACGCGAGTCGGACTGCTTTTTGAGGCGAGTAATTTGAAGTGCGCTAACCCAACTCGGGCCACTAAAACGCGATTTCATTTCGAAATACGCCCTTCCTTGGCACAAAAGTAACACTACGAGGTTTCTGGACCGCTGTTTATACAATCAACGTCGACTTTATAGTTGCCTTTAGTGCCCCTTTAACTAGAGGAGACTCAGTGCTCCGATCATTCAGTCACCACGGGAATGATGGGTAGTAGACAAATTTGCCCAGTCTGTGCTTGCGGGCTTCGCACATATTTAGGGCTTTGTTTATTGCTGCGTTTTGGTTTCGTTTCGAAAAAAAAAAAAAGAACAGATTATTGGGAACTTCGTGACCAGATTTGAATTGGCGTGCCTAAAAGGTTTAGGAGGTGAAGTGAAAGTGCTGAATATATTCGAATTGTCTCGTGACAAAGCAGCTTCAAGCCACGCAAAGCCAAACGGAGCTGAAAGTACGAAGATTAGACAAATTAGTGTACAGTAAAAGCTCGTTAATTCGACACCCATTAATTCGGAAATTCGGATAATTCGGACGGCTCTATTGGTCCCGGCCAAAGTGCATGTTAATCTATGGGACCAAACCTTCGTTATTTCGCCGGAATTCGGCTCCGCACCGCTTAATTCGGACAAATGCTGACGGCTGCTGCTACACAAAAGTGTGATAAAGCAGCGCTGGCACCACTGGAGTGAAACCGACACCTGAGTGGCATCGCCATCATCATAACCTAGTGGGGGCGATCGCAGCGTCACCGAACGTCGGCGTCTTCTTTCTTCTCCACTCAGTGCCTCCGACGCCATTTTCCCTTGCGTTGTCGTGTCGGAACCATCTCTTCTTGCGGAGTTCTCTTTTTCTTCCATTGTGACCGTATTTGCATGCCACCACCATCGTGCGCTACAGTGATGGCAACGCCGAAAAAGCGGCAGAACTACGACCCGAAGAACTTGGCGACTTAAGTGGAAATTTTGGAAGCACTGAAGAACGGCGAATCGCGACAGCAGGTTATGACCAAGTACAACGTGAAGCGGAGCACGTTGGGAACATACGTGAAAAATGAGCAACAGATTCGACAAGCCTTTGAAAGCGAGAAGTTTCATGCCTCTAGAAAGCGGTTGCGAACCGCAGCTCATCCCCAGCTCGAAGAAGCTTTGCTCCGGTGGATTACTGACTGTCGCAACGCGCATCTGCCTTTGAGCGGACCTCTCATCATGGCGCAAGGTGAGAAGTACGCTGCAATGATGAACATTGCATCGTTCAAAGCGTCAGAAGGGTGGTTTGCGAGGTTTCGAGAGAGACACGAACTTGTCTTCAGGAGTGTGCGCGGCGAAAAGGCCAGTGTTGACGAAAGCGTGACCACCGAGTGGAGAAATGTGAAGCTGCTGGAGCACATCGCCGCATATGAACCACGTGACGTGTTCAATGCAGATATAACTGCTCTATTTTTCAGAGCTCTGCCCGACAAGACGGTGACTTTCAAAGGGGACGCGTGCATTGGTGGCAAGAAATGCAAGCAAAGGATAACTGTGCTTCTTGCCGCCGATATGACTGGCACGGAGCGCTTGCCACTACTTGTCGTCGGGAAGGCGCTTAAGCCACGTTGTTTTAAGAACGTCAAAAGCCTTCCTGTCGAGTACACAGCGAACAGGAAGGCATGGATGACATCGGACATTTTTCGCGGCTGGCTGCAGCAGTTGGACCGGCACTTCAGTCGAAGGACCGCAAGATAATTATGGTTGTTGACAACTGCAGTGCCCTTAACTGTACAGTCGAACTGAAGAGCATCAAAGTAGTTTTTTTGCCGCCCAACACGTCTGCTCTTCAGCCGATGGACCAGGGTATCATTCACTACGTGAAGTCGAAGTACCCCAAGCACCTGCTAGAGCGAATGATCCTATGCTCAGAAGCTGGAAAGTTGTATCAAGTGGACTTACTCGGCGCAGTGCACATCATCGGCCACATGTGGAAAAACACTCCGCCGCAAGTCATCGCCAACTGTTTTCGGCACAGCGGTTTTGTGAGGCCCGAGCATGCAGCAGTAGCTGACGATGGCATCGAGGAGGTGTCAGCCGAGTCCACCGACGATGACTGCCCGACTTTCGATGCTGTCCTTCCCACAGATGTGACCTTTCAGGACTACATCGCGATTGATCATGGTGTCGCCACGAGTGGTCTCCTGACCGATCAAGAGATTATTAATGATGTCACGGGCGCCCATGAAGACCACGACTCCGACGAAGAATCATGAGAGGAGATACAGCCGCGACCTCATCGCACCTCACGGGAAGTCTCGGAGGCGCTGTTAATGTTAGAGGACGCTTGCCTGAAACACTTCCCGACAGCTTGCGTGCTGTTGGCCATTTGGAACAGTTAAGAAAAATTGTGATGTCAGCCGGAATCTGCGCGAAAACGCAGACGACAATTACAAAATACTTCAACAAATAAAGGTATGCTACTGCAGCTTGATTTAAAATGTTGTTTTCCCTGTTCATTCGTTAATTCGGCATTCGGTTAATACGGACAGTTTTTCCGGTTCCGTGAAATCCGAATTCACAAGCTTTTACTGTACTACTGATCATGACCATGCTGGATGAAGCACCATGCTGGATGAAGCGCCATGCATTGCAACGCCCATACAAACTAATTCCAGAGTACCCTATAGTGTATCTATAGGAAACAACACTGGCAGCCTTTTCAGTTCACTTTATTTTTTAATTCATTATGGCGTTTTACATCGTAAGAATACAAACATTAAACATAGTTGAGGGTGATGCCAGAGACCACCTGTCTACAAAATTGTCCTTACCTCAATAGTGTCTTCAAAGGGACCACGCAACAGTTTTTGAACTTACAAAATAATAAGCTTATCTGAAATTGTCACTTCAAAGGGACCCTGCAACTCTTCTTGGACACACTCAATTCGCTGCTGACCAGCAGTCGAGGCTTTCATGAATGTGCAAGGCAAATATAGCACTGCACAGAGCACTTTCATTTGACGGACAGCCGACAATGGCAGATTTCGTGATCATGAACACATCCCAGTAAAGTCTACAGCGGTAGTGTCAACTTCAGTACACAAAATATGTAAATTTCTCACTTGGCAAACACTTATGTCCGCACTCTAAGTACTCAAACCCCATGATAACAAAGTCACATCTTACACGAAAATACTAGTTCGTTATACCCAGAAATTTGCTATAAAGGCATATTAATACTATTGAAAGACTATTCATTTACTTTGTTATAACCTATATTTCGTTATTTCCCATCTCGATGAATTAGTTCCTTGTTTCGCTTGTTCAGAAGAGGTGATGCCCGGCTTAGGAAAGTCCACGCTATTTTGAATGCTGTGGACCTCAGTGGGTCGCTTGCCTCGCACTGAACGCACTACCACAGTACAGAACGATTCATACAGTCAGGTCCAAATCCACAGGCATGCTGGTCAGTGCACGCTCTTTCTTTAACATGCCTTGCAAGCTAGATGTCTACGCAGACATGGCTAGGTGCTTAGCCAATTGAAACTGCTTCAAAAAGTGCCATCACTACCATCTGTCGGTCGGCCTGACGCAGTATGACATCGGTGAACACCAAGTACGTGCACAGCACGGTCATAATTCAGAACAGACGCAGCGTGGTAGCACCAGATGTGCTTGTATGCTGCGCAATTACCGCAAGCACGACTGGGTGCCACGGCAGTGGTCTCGAGAATACTCACTATCATACCGGTACTGTAGTTTGTTTTTTAAAACTGCGTTGAGTTGGTTCACAGAGATTTATGGTTGCGAATGAAAGATCGACAAGACTGGTCAGAAATAGAGTCTTTAGGGCAAATCAACAGTTTGCAGGTACGCGAGTGGGAGAAAAATGCGTATCTGGTTTCCTACGTTACCTGCGCGTCAGACAGACAGTCTGGTGAAGGCAAGTGACTCGGTTTGGTGAGCACTGTAGAACCAGAATTGCACAAATCTGCTGGGTAACAGATGAACCAGCGAAGACGAGCTGCGATGGCGTAGCAGGTGCAACAGCTTTTGTTTGACCCATATTTTATGGAAATGCACCCGATTTTACGACTGGTTTATGCATGAAGGCACAATGAAGAAGACTTCGACAACGTGGGAAACTGTGGTTGCATGATCTCAGGTTGAACAAAATTGATTTTCTTGCGCTATTAGAATAACGCGGCAGTATGGGGGGGCGAGTAATAGTCATGGCATCTTCTGCTTAAAAATATTTCTGCGCATAAAAGTTCAAATTTAAATTTAACAAGGTTTCTACATAACAAAGGCAAATTGTGACTTGTATCAAAGCTCAGCTATCTGTCTAAACACATTTAGTAGCTACATTAGTGTCCCTTTAAGTACACTGAAACCTTGATCAAACAAACTCAGTAAATTACTGGGTATAACAAAGTTAGTGACTAATAGCTTTGCCACAGATACAGTGTCAATCATTTATAACGAATTTTCAGATTTAACAAAGTATTTTCGTGGCAGAGGAGAGTTTGTTGCGAGATTTGAGTGTACCACACACTGCTGTGTCCGGAACCTCATTGCATTAGTAACCAATTAAAATTGTACTTTTGAAATTGTAATTTTTTTTATAGCAAGGACTTCATTTTTTTGAACATGGCAGTTTACTCGATATTTTATTCATAATGCCACATTGTGCGAACATGCAGAATTTTACCCGTAACATTATTGGTATTGTTTCACTGGCTACTGTACACAAGTTACAAGTGGGCTGTTTGTCGTACATTTTATTTTTCTTGCATACAGTCTTTCTGGCAGCTGGATTTAATAACTTCTGAAGCGATTTTCAGCTGACTTCAAGAATTTGTTGTAAATTTCAGGCCTCGTGCTATATGCTCCCGTGCTCTCAGAAGCCTCTACTACCAATCAGCAGCGCTTCTTGACCATGTTAAAAAAGTGTTGTAGGGCCTCTTTAAAGACGAATGAACACCATCTAGCAGTTTTACTCAGCTTTATCATGATTTCCGATACAATTTGAGTTGACTACACGGATGGTCATGTTGGTTTGATGCAACACAGCTATGGAAGAATACAACAATCGTCACCAACCTTTCCTAGGCAGTCCGTGGTGGGGTACTTCTTGAGTAGTTCGTCCGCCTTATGCTCATCCTGAAGGCGCTGCAAAATGTACTGGTTGAACTGAGCTTTGCACCCTGAAAAGAAGAAAAAAAAAAAAAGAAAACCTGATTTGTCAAAGAACATTATCAATTAAGACAAAGTGCTGTGCTATCAACCCTATAGGCATAAAGTCAATCAGTCAACCAACATGTCATTTCCAACAAGCAGGCAAAATATTGAAAAGCTACCTCTACACAAAATAAGAGCAGTATTTCTGGTCAATTACTTTTGAGCGCCTTTTTCCCTGTCTCATGTTATTCAAGCATCTCGGGTGCACTGAGACTCGGCAGAACAAGATGACCCAGGTTACAGACGCTCGCTCAATTGTATGATGATGTTACAGATATGTTCTTAATTTTATGACGATGTTACAGATATGTGCCCAATTGTATGACGGTGTTACAGATATGCGCCCGACTGCCCGAACAAGTGACAGATATGTGCCCAACTGCCCGAAGATGTGACATATGCGCCCAACTGACCGAAGATGTGAGAGATATGCGCCCAACTGCTCGGCAATGTGACAGACATACGTCCAACTGCTCCGCAATGTGACAGACATGCGTCCAACTGCCCGGCAAAGTGACAGACATGCGTCCAACTGCCCGGCAAAGTGACAGACATGCGTCCAACTGCCCGGCAAAGTGACAGACATGCGTCCAACTACCCGGCAATGTGACAGACACTAGTCCAACTGTCTGACGATGTGAAAGATGAGCACCTGTCTGATATGCACCTAATTCTCCGAAGTCGTAACAGATATGCATCTGATTGCCTGGCTATGTTATAGATATGCGCTTCATTACACTAGATTATGGATACATGCCTCACTGCAGGACGAGACTACCGACCAGTGTTTAATCGCACGACAAGACTACAGAGACGTGCGTGACTGCACTATGAGGATACAGAGACTTGCATGACTACACGAGAGGTTGTAGAGTGCAAACTCAACGACAATACTACAAACACATGCCTCATCACACCTAATTGTGCCCAACTGTGCGACTAAGTTACAGATTTGTGCTGAATTGCACGACGAGGCTACTAAGACAACGGGACGTCAGAATTCAACTTACTGCATGTAACCTTATAACGCAGCCTCGTGATGACCTTGGCACGATGGCGAACCTCACCGCTCGCAGCCGCTCGGGCGAGGGTGAGCCTGTCGCCCGAGTTGGGTAGCTTGACATAGTCCCCCAGCCATACCAGTAGCTTGACACGACCTTTGATGAAACCAAAAGCTGCTCTGTCGGCTTCCAGGACGCATTCGTACAGCTCCCAGTGTTTGCTGCCAATAGAAACACAGATGTTTCAATAGAATGCCCTTTACTTCACACGCATACGTCCTCCGCCTTACATTATGCCTCTACTATTGGAGCAAGAGAAACAGCTTGCTTATAGGAACAGGCGCTATGAATTCTTGTTTTCCTTAGATGCACTAAGTGGCCCTCGCCCCCTGATTTGAGCACTCCCGTTAGATAATAAAAAGTCACACAGTGGCACATAACAAATCACAACCCAGCCATATGTTTATACTCCCGGCAAGTAGCACGAGAAGTGCAGGTAATAGCGCTTGTCTTGTACCAAAAATGCAAAATGCCGGAAATGATTTGAATTTCCTCGAGGATTGCGAGCATTCATGAGCTCTGAGGGAATAAGTTGGTTCACAACTTCGAACTCTCCGAAATATTGCACACCTGGACTCACTCGGACTCTCAACTCACTGCCCGACCAGAGTCTGAGTGAGTCAACTCATGTGCGAGTTTGTTGATCCTAGCCTGCATGACTACTACTGGTACTACTACGGTGGCACAGGGTTGACAGTATCACAGCAAGAGAGTGGCATCGAGAAAGCATAGGTACACCTGTAGTTCCGATGGACAAACAATGCCGAGTGTGGCGATTCGAACAAACTCACCGTGTCTCCTCAGGAATGTTGTAGAAGCTCCAGTAGAGGGTCTCCCTGATGTTCGTGTCATCGAGGCGGTCGATAATGCCAAGGATGTCGATGTTGGCCGTCAGGTCCAGCTGTGGGTCCGAAAGTTCATAGGGAGGGATATCCCTGCAATAATAATTTTTCGAAAATGTATGCGACACATCGTGCACCTTGAGCAGCTTTAAGTCTTACTATAATCGCCAAGGGAGCTATTTTGTAGAAATGAAAGGACGAAATGAAACGTGACAGAATGACGAGAGGGAAGCAAACAGATAATAGGCAAAATTGAGGAATTCAATTTAGAAATGTTTCTCATGTGCGAACAAAAACTTGATATAGTTGAACATCAGAATTAGCAGGCATTGTTTTCCAAAGCTTTAAATTGAAGAGCGAAATGACTAACAATTTGCAGTAATGTCTTCATTGGGCACCAGACGGGTTCACAATTTCCCAAGACGTTCGGTGGTGGGGGAGGAAGGCTAGTTGCAATTTTTGCAAACTACTGGCAAGGAACTGGAATAAACCAGAGACAAAGCAGGCTAATTTCTGCCATTTCTGGTATGGAACGAGCCAAACTGAGTCATCTGCTTTCGATATTGTCAAAAAAATTTTTGGTGGTGACGTAGACTCTGTGACTCAAGTACACCGCTGGCCAGACCATTTTCAGGACACCCGTCATTGTGCTCTCAAACAACGAGGTGTTTCCAGATGACGAGGCCTTCAACCACCGCATGTGGCGCTACAAGTGGCGGGCGTGTCTTCCACTGAACAAATACAACAAGAAAATTTACAAAATTCACCTGATGGCCCTGGTGCTCCCTTTTGATACGTTTGTCATGGAAGAAACATACGTCGGCATGCATCAGCTTGATCAATAAACAGTTTTTGAACCTAACATCCCGAGTACTTGGTCGATGCTTTGCATTTTCCGACTACATCGACGACAAGCGCGCCAGCTGTCAGTTCAGTCACAGTCAGTTCAGTCACAGTCAATTCAGCCATTCACAGTCAATTCAGTCATTCACAGTCAATTCAGTCATTCACAGTCAGTCACAGTCAGCCAGTCAGTTCAGTCATTAAGTCACAGTCAGTCAAACATCAAATAGAGGCGGCTAAGAGTGTAGCTGTCGTCGATGTCACCATCAGTTCACTCAGTCAGTCACAGTCAGTTCAGTCATTCAGTCAGTCATAGTCAGTTCAGTCAGTCACAGTCAGTCATTTTTGTTGGTGTTTGCCTATATCGTTTATTGTAATCTTCCCCACCTGCCTAGTCTTCAGTGACTGCAGTATTTTCTAAATAAATAAATAAATTTGACTTTAGCCCTAGCACTTGAGTTTTTATCTAATCTAAGTCTGCCGAAGACCGCTGGATATGCATTCAGTGGTGATCCAGCCACTTCAACTTTTGGAGCAATTTTTGGAGCAGAGAAAATGCTCTTTTGGAGCACCTTTGTATCGGCACTCGATTTTGGAGCAGCAATTGTAGCAGCAACTTATTTTACAAAAATACATCTCTCATTATTGCTGAAACTAAAGCTGTGATAGCAACCACAGTTCTATAAAACCGTATTTGTCTCAATTCTCAATTATTAATTAGAGTGTCACGTGCATGCCGATTTTAAAAGCCACCAAGAAATGGACCAGTCCATCAGATTTAATGCACTACTGAAAATGAAGGTAGTGCAGGTGTAGCATTAGTTTATTAAAGTACACTAAAAGCTACGACGAAAATTCCCAGAAACCGAACTGTAAGGAGAGTTTTGAACTTTCATTTATTTACAGAAGAAAGATGTGCATGTTGCAGCATTTACGTCCTCTTGCTCACCTTCTTGCTTAGTTCTTCCAGCTGTGAGAGGGTTTGGCTCAAAGCGGAGTTGCCTTCAGCTAATAAAGTTTGCCCAGCTTCAACTTGTTCCAGGCTCTTAGAACGCAGACCAGAAGAAATTATGTCTTCTGCTCGTTTCAGCAATGCCCTACTTGAGGTGACCTTTTCTTCCAAGTTCTTACGAAGTCGCTTTTCGTCGACATCAGCACCAGTGTCTTGGTCTCCAAGCCTTTTCCTGCTTTCTGACTGCTGTGCACTTGCAGTTCTCTCTGTGTATCGGGCTCTAGATCTCCTTACACTTTGCAGAAGCTCTGTAGACAAGGGAACTTTAGTGGCATCTCCATCATACCTGCGGAGGTATGTCTTTGTCTGGCGCAACCCGTTAATGCTTGCAATGCATAATGAGTAGCGGTTCTCATAAAAGCGCTTATTTTCGCTAAATCCTCGTTCGCAGTCTGCGTTGCCATGTGGCAGGCACAGCAGACACTTGACAAGCCTCGACAATAATGGATACTTTGGTTGACCTCCAGGAGACTTCAGTTCAAATATTTTGCCCCAACGAACATCAATTCTTTCACCTCCAAGTGCCAGGAGGTCACTGTTTGAGTCACACTTTAACATATGCCACTCATCGATGGCTGAGGAAACTTCTTCATGTTTGATTACCTGTGGAAGCTGAGACACAAGGTACTTCAGTGCTCGCACTTCCGATTCAACATTTGTTGACTGCCAATTGAGGAGGCTAGCAGATTGAAGAACTCTATTGTCGAGTGGAAGCTTCTGAAGAAGATCCTTGGCACAGGCCAAGTAAAAAGCACGTGCTCCAAGATAAAACCGCTTCTTCTCACTAGAGTCCCACTCAAGCATTGATTTTTCAGTATCTGTACCAACTTCCGGCCTTGATTTCCAAAGGGATGCATCCATCACATCTAGCCTTTTCAGTTGTTCAGCGGTCTTGTCTGCAAAGGCTTCATGACGAAGAAACCGACTGAGGACTCGTTGGACTAGAACAATAAGTTCAACGTGAAGTATGTGCAAGAGCGGCTCTTGCTTTTGGAAGAGCAGCTGAAATCCACTGAAAAGCTGCGCACAGTTCTTAAGGAAGAACACTTTGGCCAAAAGTTGTTTCTCAGAAAATGCCGACACAAGCTTGTTGTGTAGGCTTTGGGTGTCAGGTCGTTGACGAGATGAATTGCCCTTAAAAAAATAGGTGCGAAGCGCTTCAAACTGTTCCTCAACTCGGCAAAGTGAGTCTTGTAGCGTCAGCCAGCGATTAGAAACGTGGCGCAGAAATACATGACAAGAGATTCCCAAAGTATCCTGGCATTCTCTGAGTGCTTCAGCACGGACAGCACCTTTGAAGTAGTAGTAAATATTTCTCACTACTTCTTCTACATCTAAGCCAAATGCATCCAGGCCTCTGCCAAATGCATTGTGAACCTTATGAAGATTGCAGTTGCCAATATCAATCAAACTTGGTGCCACATGCTTCTGAAGCTTGTTTCTTACGCTCTTCATAACATTAGGGCCATCACTGAAAAAGCAAACAAGTCCTTGCTTTGGAAGATCTGCTATTGCTTCTTCTATGCAGCCAACAATTATTTCAGCGGTTGCACGCCCAAGATCAAATGACTGGACATGTTCAACAACAACTTCCTGTTGGCTGCTGGAAAAATAGCGTACCAGCACATCTAGTTGCTGCACCCTTAGCTCTGGCTTTGGCGTCTCATCAATCATAATGGAAAAATAGACATTTGGCTGGCACAGCTCAGTCACCACTTGTCCTTTAAAGTAGGGACCCAGTCCATCTGATACAATGCGGGCCAACTTTATTCTGCCGCAACTAAACTTTTTGGCAATGTCACTGTCGGGGAACATGCAGTGATAAATCGAAGTTGCTGTGTCTCCCCATGAAAAAGGAATTCCCTTGGCCACAACAGACAAAGCAAAAGTAGTTTCTGCCTTGCTGACTTGGTGCTCAAGTGATGTATTAGCAGACCCGTTGGAGAAGTCCAGTGTGCCTTGCACCAATTTGGGTGGAAGAAGATTCCCGTCCTTGTCTCTGTGTCTAACAGCTGCATCAATATGTTTCTTCATCCCAGCATGACGCTTCACTGCTGCCGCTCCATGCTGTGCGCAAGAAATGGTGCAGTTGCAAAGAATACAAAATGCATCTGTATTTCGGGTTCCACTCTTGCACCACCGACTGATCGGATCATTATTGGAGTCCACCTCGTTGAGTACAGAGGCGTTGAACTTGGTGTTGCGATCTGAAAACATGAGCGAAACGAACTTTATGACAGTAAACTTTGCCAAGTTTTTTTTCAGAGCGTGAATATAGGTAAAAGCAACAGGGTAGACAGAAAGAGCACTGACTTCTAACTTTATATCACAGAGTGGCAAGAATATATATGCCCAAAAAAAGGATGATTAAAAACATGACAAAATACACGCCTAGTCAATGCGTCAGTATAAAAAACTTGCAAATGTGACTACGCACCAACTAGCCCAAGGTTCCGCTCTTGTAAATTTTCCCACGACAAAGGCACGCTAGTAAAAAGAGCACGTAACTACTAGATTTATTTTTAGGGTAGCCCGTAACATAATGCCAACCTTACTTCATTGGAAGATCTAAATACCAACTCTAAGGCGCCAACACCAAATATTTGCGCAAGCATTTTGGGTACAGCCTCGACAAATGGCGCGAATCGGGATGCCAGTTGTCTGTCGACCATTCACACCTAAAACTCGCGACCAACTTACAGGAAGTTGCCATGCGGATGACGCATGGGTCTGACGGCCGCAGACAACGCATTGCCCCAGCTGGCAAGGCGGCATAAGGCGCTAATGTATGTTGGAGGTTTGCTTCCTTCCGGCGCGGCGCGCGATGACCAGAGCAGAAATCGACAGCAATGTTTCCTTAAATTAAATATTTAAAAAAGCTGATTGGGAACGGCACGTCACGAATAGCGGATTCCCAACGATCGGCGGCTGCTAATGCGGTAACATTACGGTGCTTATTGACTTGCTTGTGTTGACATGGTCGACGCTCAATCACTCTTTTCCGACTATTCTACAAGCAGCTCGCACGGTGGGGCGCCCGATCCGTGACGCGCCGGCAGCACATACGGCCCATCTAGCGATCTGCTAACGTCAACAAAAAGCGACCCGCCTGCAGAAATTCTTTGTGTATTCCGCACTCGCTCGTTCGTTTCGCACTATTATATGTTCCGAACGGTAGCATGTAGGAGGTGTAACTGCTGCATGCCGTACGAGCGATTGCGCGTTTCAAATGCGGATATTCCGCACTATGAAACAAGGCACGGCGCACATTCCTAAGCCTACGTACAGCGCTCGGACACTCCGAACACAAAAACCATCAGTAGCGAGAAATCGGAAGAACTATAGGCAAGTTGCAACTTCTGTACTGATTCAATAGCAAAGTGCGGCCGGTAATAAATGCCAGCAGCGCTACGCGATCGCCTAAGCATTCACTAAAGTATTTCACGGGCGCTATTAAGAAATGCCACAAAATTTAAAAAGAAAGCGACTTACTTTTGTCCATTTCAACAGTGGGGGGATGACAAACATTCGCTGACTGGTTGTTCACAAGCACATGGCGCACATGCAACGACACGACGTGCTGTGCATGAGCGCGAAAACCTACAGAAAACACCCGAACGACACCGACGAATACCAAAGCTGCAAAGCACATGGTAAACAGTTGCCAACCTAGAAAAAAATTCACTTGTTGCCAACTGCAAAATGAACATCCGCTAAAGTCGGGTTCTTTCGTGCAACTTGGCACATTTGGCGCAAACAAAACAACACTTGCGCAGTAAGGCGCAGGAAGGTATAATTGTAGCAAATTGGCGCAAATGGCGCAGCTGGATCACTACTGTGCATTCTATAGGATGATGTCTCCGTCTGTTTTGTGCCCATTCTGTGTCAAAAAGGCTGACAGCGCTGCCGCTTCTGTTTGCTATTGCCACGTCTCACCATCAGACGAGCCTTGACCAATACCGTGCGGCTCTCTCGTTACATTTAGTCCATTTTATATCAGAATGCGTGCAAAATAGCTCCTCAGTTTACCCTGTCCTGCATGAGTAGATGCCGTTTTATACTTAGATAGTATTTTCTAATTTCACCACCTCATACCAAATTTCTCGCAGTCTTCAGCTGCACTTCTTACTCTTTAAGGGAACAGGGTAAGCGCTATACCCGCAATCTATTTTAGGCGAAGTTCTCCCATAACCATAAAAGTTACAATTGCCATTTTATTATCATTGTGATCATAAGCCATTCTTTTTCGCACTGAAGCAGACTTAGCACTGGAACTTGTAATGCTAATTATAGTCCTTTTTTTTCCTAGCACAAGAACTGTGCTAGTAAGTTACTGCATTTTGAGAACAGTTTGATATTCTGATAACTTTTAACCTTTTGTCAACGACAGAGTGGTTCTGTCAAGCGGATGAACTACACTCACCCAAGACAAATTAACGGCAGCTCGCAAAGGACCATCTACACTTGTCAGAAAAGGGGAAAGGGTAACTACATCCAGTATGTTGATAACCAACAAATAGTATGCCAACTGTTACAAAGAACAGCTAGTGGTGCGCATACGAACATATGGATTTATTACCAGGATGTACCTCCTGAATGCTAATATTCATCAGAAACACTGAACCGCAAAAGCAAGATGTCCTTTGTAAAGAAGACGCATAAGAAAACGGCCATCATCAAGGCAGCTCACATCAACGTGCACTTCAGGTTTTACCGCAACTGTACAACTGCCTCCTTTCATAAATTTAGAAGGAAAGAAAGACAAAACAAACTTACGCGACCACGCAGTCCTTAACTGATGACGATGGATTTCCTTCAGCACGGGAGCCTGAAATAAATTCAGCAGCATGTTTACACACACACTAACACTCGAAAGCATGAGCGTGCTGCACACCTAGAAGTGCATTGAGTAATACCACAATTACTCCCACAATTAATACAAAGTGATGCAATTTCCATTATGTGCCTATGAGAATCGAGTTGAAAATTTCCTCATATTTATAAAGAAAATGCATTATTTTGGACAAATGAGATCCTCACCTTGGTGAAAATGTTTAATTGATGTACGACTCTTGGTAAGCGTACAAAAGCATGTGCAATATATTCCACACTGGTACTCAATAAAAACCTCTACATTCATGGATTACGAGTAACGAACAAGATGTTTACTAGCGGCATGCAAAGGGTTTGTGTGCTTCACAAAGCTGTTTCAAGCAGTTTTATACTATCTATGAAAGTTTTACAAAGCGGTGATGCAGAGAAAATTAGAAATGCGGCTGAGACAATCGTATCCATTTAGAAGACAATTTGCATCAGTATAACGGTTATGCGCACTATAGTGCAGATATGGCAAAAAGAACAAAACACTTCTATGTAACCATGTCAAAACCGAACCGGTACGCGAGTGCGACAAATGCTTGTGCCAACGTGCAGGCTCGCATCTCCATACCAGCAGCGCCCAGTCCCAGTTTGTAATATGTTGTACACAAAATTATTCAGAAGTCATACAGAATTTATGCGTTTGCCTCCAGAGCAGCTATGCTCAAAATGATTCGGGCACATTCCCGAATCGTTCTACCACTAAACTACGAACACTTGCGGTAAATAAATAGGGGCAACTTAATCGGCGACATCGAGTGAAACATGCTAGATGGAATGAATGCCACCATTCGAATGAGCCCACCAGGCTTGTCGCTTGTTAGATTTCTTTCATTCTCAGCAATGTGGCAACACGTAGTTTTGCGATACATTGCACAAGAGAGCTTTGAAAATGCGGCAGTTGCAGTGCGGCGCTGACTCTAAAGGACAAGTTTGTAATATATTGCATGCTAGGTCTCGCGAGGGTACGTATTGCTAGTACTAATACAATTGAAACCAGACTTCTCGACAGACAAATTACGATTTACATTCTCACCATCAAGGCTGCAACTCTAAGCAATACATACTTCTTATTCAAAAGCTAGTGCAGATATCGCGCATTTTCTTTGAAGCAAGTTGAAGCGGATGGCTACACATGACAATCAATAATAAATAACCTTGAAGCGAATTTTAGCAAGATGCAAATGACAACATACATCATAGGGACCGACAACCAATTTTGGTAGTGCCTCATCCTCTGGCTACAACTGAACACTCGTCAGTAACAGTCAGCAAGTGTAATCACCAAATTGTTGTGTGGGAAATGCCGCAAAACATTTTTAACCATAATTTGTCTACTTGCAGTGAATATGAAGTCGTATACTCACATGCTGCAAACAGTGAACGCGGAAGCGGTTCATGTTCAAGTGCAATAGTTTGCCAAGTATGCATGCACTCTGTGCTTGCAAGTGTGCACCGGTTCAGATGTCCTTTTGGACAGTTACAGAGAACACTGAGCCCCCACCATTTTATTTCTCAACAGAATCTCCTATTTATAGCAGCCACACACTATACTTACAAATGGATTACAAAACGCAACAATAGGCCTATTTGGTCATTTCAAGTCCTCAAACCTTCCTACATCTTAAGTTCACCTTGAGGCTAATTCGAATACTGTAACATTCAAAGCACTTGAATAGATATACAGGTTTAATATTTGGGTGCACTAGTTTTACAGCCTTCAAGCCGCATCCTGAAACAAGGGTAAGCTGACAAATACTGCTGACCCTCGGCAACATCAAGAGTAAATAGAACTGGCGACAGGAAGTTGAACTTCCAAATGAACTAGCGAAGGATGGCAGACAGTTGGATTACCTGCTATTTCGCCCAATCTCCGAGTGATCCGTGCCTGCACAGCATCCAAGGCTTTCAGGGTAGACTGGGGGCTCAAGTCGTCAGGCACGTTAAACTCCTCTAGTAACACTGAGCTGTCTGGCAACTCTACTGGAGGACTCGACGCGTTTGTGGGAGTCGAGCTGGCCACCGGAGATGGAGGCAGGCTTCGCAGTTTTGGTTGGTACGAAAAGACTGATCGTAGGATGTCCATTACTGAGCTTCCAGTTCGTTCAATTCTTTGTCGAGTCTTTGAAGCGCTCGTGGCACTGACAGCTGCCTTGCGCACTGACTCGGCCTTACTGTTTGTATTTTGCAATTGCAACGGTCTCCGCCGCTTTGTGCTGGTCGGCACGGGAGAGCAAATATGGCGCTTGGAGCCGCTGCCTTTTGCAGCTGCCTGCTTCGGTCGCCTCTTCTTTGCCGTTGACCTGCACTTCTCCGACGACCTCGCAGAAGGCGTACTTGGCAATTTGCTCCGCTTCTTCGAGGAAGAAGAGTAAAACATGTTGATTGGGATGCAGACGTTGGCATCGGGAGATTTCAATACTGCTCCGGTGGGCTTGCTATTTTCCGTGTGGCATGTCTGTTGGCTGGCAGTCTCGAAGCTCCTGGAGGGATGCTGGCTGTCTGCAGAGGAGGATGTTGTTGAGTTGTTACCGACAAGAAATGGCTCTGGGACGTCCGTAAGCATGTCCCCGTCATCAACACGAGATCCAGTGGAACGCTGCAGGACCCTACATGACGTAGCGTGCAGCTGATGACTTGAGGTCTCCCCGGGGTTGGGAAGAGCCTGAATGCGGGACACGTCAAAAAGCCCCTTGCTTGCGACAGGCACAGCTGGCATGTTTTCATGACCATTTTCTGCACAACCGTTGGCATGGAGGCCCATACCTTCCATGGTGCTTTGTGAAGTCTGCAAGTCGACTGCCGTGAACTGCAGCCTTTTCCTAGACCTCGAAACGGTAGCACCTTGGTTGCTGCAACTGTTTTCTGGTTGGTGTACAGCTGCAGTGGAATGCTTTACCGAACGAACGCGGGTTGCTGAGGAGTGAACTTTCATTGATGAAGGTGCATCCCTGTTGCTTTCATCCACAGTGGTGCCATCATTGATCTGAACAATGCTGTAGTCTGGAGGAGAGACAGCAAATGTGGCACTGGGCCTAGCGCCGTTACCAGAAGTTGCCAAAAATGTAGAGCTCTTTCGTGTGGGTGCTCTACTAACAACAAACGTTGCACTCTTTCGTATGGGTGCATCATTCACGATATGCGTCCCACTCTTGCGTGCAGATGCATCGCCAGCTACCAATGTCACCCTTTCTTGTACAGATACATCAGCAGCCACCAACGTTGAATTATCTCTTATGGCTACATCACTAGCCATGAGCGTTGCCCTTTTGGTACGGACTCATCGTTCTTGCATGCTAACAAGCTTGCCCCAACACACTGGGCATCAGCAGCAGAGGCAGCCCTAGAACTGATTCCAGGTGAAGAGGTTGTCACTTCACTTTGTGGGCAATGGCCTACTACTGTTTCCAACGTTCCCATTGGTCTTTTCCTGCGAGTAGTGCTAAGGCTCTTCGAAAGAGACTCACGGTTAAACTTGGTGATGCTGGCACTCGAAACTGCCGCAAGCGAGCTTTTCTTCGAGGAATGGCTAGCAACAGCTTGGTCTTGTCGGGCATCTGCAGCCTCCTGTGCGATGGTCTTGTCGAGGTTCGCTCTGACTTCGCTGCTAACAGTTATGCTCTGGCCTTGATTGCACACGAGACGAGAATGACTGACACTTCCCATCTGCTGCCTTGCTTTGGTCAGACTTTTAGACCCGCATGCACTCTCGTTCCGTGCATCTGTGTTTCCCTTGCCAACCATTTCTGGTGAGAACACGTCATCCAAGAGTGTCAGCGAGCTGACATATCCCGTAGGCATTTCCAGCAGAGCCGACACATTGGAGACGTTTACAGTAGAGTCTGTCAACGAGTTGAACATGTTAGCCGGAGCAGTAAGATCCACCTTCAAAGTGGCATTTTGTTTCTTGATTGACGGTGGAGCGAACAGTTGCCCTTAGTGTCGGGCCAACCGATTGAAGGCTTCGTTTAGCGGCAGGGCTCGCTAAAAGCTGGTAAGCAACACTGTCTTTGCCTTTCAGGACGTCGGCAGGCGATGCTTGAACGCTAAACTGCTTCCTTGCAGAGTCCTTTACGCTCGTGTGAGACTTCCCTTTCGGGGGTGTTGTGGGGGATGTGGACCGTTCCACACTGCGAATGTTGCCAGCCGGTTTGTCCTCGGGTGTGGCTTTCAGCAATGAAGGAGCGGTCACGTCACACAAAACGGGCAGATCTTGGGGCACCGCTTCGCTCGAGTCATCCAAAGATGCTGCAAAACTGGCAGGCGTGTGCAAAAAAGGCATGCTGCGAGAAAAATCTGCACCACTTTTATCTCTGGCTGTTGCATTGAGTGAAATCATAGACAAACGCGGGTCTAACCTCATGTACTCCGAAGCATCATTAACATAATCTCTGTTGGATTCGACATGACTGTGAGCCGCGACGCTCAGTTCCTCCCCTTGACTGTCCGCCTGGTTCAGACTATGCTCGCCAGTGACATAATGACTCTTTTCGACAACTCCTGGTGACACATATACTTGCTCATTTAGCTCAGTGCTCGGGCCAGTCGTGCCTTCGTCAATCAAAGGACACTCCATAGTGTTTGGACAAGTAATATTCATTGCTGCAGACAAATCACCGTCTCTATAATGCAGCGTACTCTCTGCCGGCTTAGCACATGGATGATTCTCACGAGATGGCTCTTCCAAGCCAAGCAAGTCATCACAGGTTATATTCATGACATTGGTCATGACTGTGCGATCCTGCAGTGTTGCGATTGGCGCAGTGTCAGTGCCCACCGTCAGCCCTGTGGTCGTACTGAGACCAGTTACATTTGTAGTGACCACCTGATAATCAGTCGCCAGTGAAGCTTGAACTGGCGAAAGACACATGCTGTTAGACTTTCTCGTAGCATTCTGGATGCCCTCAGATCCAAGTAAGTCTGCACAGGTCATGCTCATGACATCGGCCATGAGTGTGCGATCCTGCAGTGTTGCAATTGGTGAAGTTTCAGCGCCCACAGTCAGCCCTGTGGTCGTATTGAGACCAGTTACATTCATGGTGACCACCTGACAAGCAGTCGCCACTGAAGTTTGCACGGGCGATAGACGCGTGCTGTTATTCTCTCTCGCAACATTCTGGATGCCCTCCGATCCAAGTAAGTCTGCACAGGTCATGTTCATGACATCGGTCATGACTGTGCGGTTCTGGAGTGTCACAGCTGGCACACTACTTTCAGTTCCAGTGTGAATGGCTGGCTCTGGGGTAATGTCGAGACCAGTTACATTCATGGTGACAACCCGATAATCTGTTGCCAACGATGTTTCCATAGGTGAAAGATGTACATTGTCAGGACTCCCTCACATCATTCAGAGTAGCCTCCGGTCCAGGAAAGCCTGCACAAGTCATACTCATGACATCGGTCATGATAGTGCGATTCTGGAGAGTCAATGCTGGCTCACTACTTTCAGTTCCAAGATCCGCTTCTGGCCCTGTTGTCATGTCGAGATCGGTTACATTCATCGTGACTGCCCGATAATCTGTCGTTGCTGAAGTTTCCATAGACGAAAGATGTGTGTTGTCCGCCTCTCTTGTGAACTTCTGGGCACTCTTGTAGCCTGCTCTGAAACTAGTTGCACTGTGAAAAGCAGGGGCACGTGGGCTGGGCAGCATCGGTGCCATTCCAGTGGATTCAGCATGCCCTCCCATTAGCATACACGCATCGTTGCGACGGTTCGTAGCCACGAAGGCAGCAATGTCGAATTGCCCAATAGCGCTTGTGAGGTTGCCGTTAGTGCAAACAACCCCTGGAGTGTCAATTTCTTTCATCGCACCTTTCATGTCCACGTTGCCTTGGTCGGATAGACTTGTTTCCCATGGAACTGGAGCAGGCTGTGTAGAAGCCGGTTCCAAGATGCATTTGGCAGCCTTGCCTATTATCTCTGATGGATCGTTGCGGCGGTTCAGTGAAACAAAAGCAGCGAGATTGAATGGCTCTATCTTCTGTGCTGCTGTGGCTGGGCTCGTGTCTGTGCGCCCCGATTCTAACTCACCCGGCTTGCTGCCCAAGAACTCGGCACAGTCGTGTTTGCGGTTAGACGCCACAAAGGCAGCAATGTCAAACATACCCGACGGACTTGCAATAGCGCAGTTGCCTTTTGCAGCCTCCCCACTGGGAACGACACCAGCATCCACCTCATCAGAAGCACCTGTTGCGAAACTCGTGGAACCAACTGGGCAAGTCATGTTCATAGTCTGCTGCAGCCGAACCGTGGCATCGCCACCAGTGACCGTGTCCTGTGGCCCAACAGTGACGTCCATCCCAGTGTCTGAAATGACGTGGGTTCGATGCATGCTCGTGATCGTCTGTTCGAGCACAGAGGTGCCGCAAACGCGAGTCATGTCCATGCTTCGGTCGCCAAGCGTCGTCTTGAACGATGCCAAAGCAGACTGGTTGTGACTGGTGGTTTCGATGGAAGTCGTTTCCATCGTCTTATTGTCAAGCATCGTCTTTGTGGCTTCCGCGACAGTCTGGTTGACGGTGCCACCGCAGGTGATGTCCATGGTACTATGCCCGAGCGTCCCGTCCAAGAAAGGCTGGTAGCTGGATACATCAGGGCCTCACTGATGTTCCCATGTTGAGTGAACACGAGGCAAGAGTGTGCTTCCTCCATTAAAACTGATGTCGTCTTCGTGGGTGATGCAGCTTCGGTGTTGCCACTGCCTTCATTGGCTGCGAGGTAGAAGCTCTGCTCGAGGGGAGTGTGGTGGAACTGCAGCAGTTGGACCGCTTCGCCCACTGGGTCTTCCACAGCATGGTCCGATTGAGTTGTGTTACTGTAGGGACAGAAAGAGGTGGAAACTAGAACAGCAACATCTTAAGAGAATTAGTAAGAAAAATAAAGGCGCCTAGCATGTGCGTAAGATGCACCAGAGTCGCAGAAAAAGCTGGAAAATTGAATTTTTAGAACCTATTATAAACTCTTTTGGGTTGACTGTGAGTACAGTCATAGGGTGACCACTGCACGATAAAACGTCACAATTTGTGTAGTAGGGAACTACGCTCTGTGCTACCACTGACTATTAAAAGCACAGCACTACATGTCGGGCATGATGCACACTTTTTTGATTCTATGGCTGCCGTTTATGAATTTTAACCGAGCCCTTTGTGATGGGTAGGAAGCTTTAACCTACCCACTCATTATGAATTTTACAAAGGAAAAAAAAAAGAAAAGACTGTTTTCATTGAGGTTGGATTTCGCACGTTGCCCGAAGGCGACTAAAAAACTTCCCTCATTCTAGTGAAATGAGAGATTTGCCTGTCACAACTTACCCAGGCAGGAACACCAAGCCAGCTTGTGATGCGCTCTCTGCAACAGAAAGCACAAGCAGAGTCAACAGACCGATTATTAAGACATGCAAACATGCCTCCTAAGTGCAAATGTCTGAGAATGTCCGGAAAGTGGCAAGATTTTCAGAATTATTTCCCAATGAATGCACCGTGCAAAAACATCTAGTCCAATAAGCAAAATGTGTCCAACGACACATTGTGTCCCAATGACAATGCGACACCCGATGACAAAATGTGTCCCGTAAAGCCGGGCAACGTTGTGCACGGCAACAGTGACGCGACACTGTCCGGTCGGTCCGCTTCTTGAGGCGGGTAATTTGAAGTGCGCTAACCCGATGCGAACCACTAAAATGTAATTTTATTTCAAAATAGGCCCTTCCTTGGCACGAAAGTAACACTACAAGGTTTCTGGACTGCTATTTCAACAATCAACGTCGACCTAATAGTCGGTCTTTAGTGTCCCTTTAAGGTGCACTGAAATCGCACAGCCCACAGGTTTCGACCATTTCGCCTACACCAAATTGCGACCGATGCGGCAGGGATCGCAGCCGCGACTTCCCGGTGAGCAGCTGGGCACCGTAACCACTACACCACTGCGGCGGACTGCACTGCGAAGAATAACTGCTGGCACCTGCCACCAAAAACTATCGTGCGGTCTTCCAAAAAATACCTCGTATGTTACGGTGCTTAAAAAGTGAAACTCGTCTTGTTGACAAGTCTGAGCCACCATGCTCATTAAAGCATGCATATCAAAGTATAGCTCTAAACCTGCCAGTTGAAAATTGGCTTTAATGTATTTCTCTTGTCATTGCAGCTCTTCATGTAGTGGTACAGTGCAGCAACACAATGAGGCAGATAAGTAGCATGGTTACAAATCTGCAAGCATATATATAGGCAATTTGGCATGAAATGCCCCATCTTGAGTTTTCTTGAAACACTGCAAAAGCCAACGGGGCTTATGCACAAAACAGGTCAAGCCCCATGGTTTCAAGCTGCCTTGATGGATGTACAAGATAAATACTGGGTGATGTCGACTACGCTATAAGTTCTATGCTTGGCAAATGAAATACATGCTTGCTAAATCTTTGAAATCACAACTACGTTTCAATTTTTTTGGTTTTGTGTACTGTCCAGGTTGCATCACCCTCTGCAAGATTGTTTGCGCCTCACGGGGCATACACTTCTTGTGGATGAGTCGCATTTAGGTTTAACAGCCACTAAGCACGAGGCAGTGATGCGTTTTGCGTGGTTCAGAGTTAGCAGCCTCTGTCTACTTGGCGAAGTGCATTGCCATCTTTGGGTGCCATAGAATTAGCATACAAAGTTTAAGAAAATTTAATCCAGCCAATATCACGAAAGTGCCAAACATTTAGAAATTTCTGGCATCATGTGCGGAGATTTTGGCATGAAATTTAAAAACAAAACTTCAACCTCGATTTCATTCGCTAACACTGAACTTCCAGTACTGAAACATATCAGAATTTTTAGAGTGCAATTTGTCAATGTAAACCAAGAAGTAATTGTTTCTTTTAAGCGTCTCTTTAAGGGTTCAGAAACCTTATGTTTATTCAGAACACTTCGAACATATTTAAATCCACGTCGGTACTCCTTTCAGATAGATACACAGCAACTTGATCAGCTATCAGTTTTTATGGCGTATTAATTACACATTATGGAGTATAACACAGTCGACACAACTAGCCGACTGTTAACGAAAGCTCAGCAAAAATTAACTCACCACCACCAGAGGAATGTTCATCCGAAATTTCACACTTGAACAACCTGGAAAACCAAAAATGTGACATTACTACCGGTTCACCTCTATCGCATGCAGAAACTCTCACAAGAGATCATTTAGAACTTTTTGACTATAAGGACTACCTTAAAACTATCAGGAGGGTATAAATAAGAGAAATTAGTTATTGCTACTGTATAACTGCATGCTAACCATAATTTCTGTAGTTGTCGCGCTGCAGACCTGCTCATATTTTCTTGAAAAAGAAAAAATGCCAGGCCTGCACGAACCGCGCAGCACAGTCTCAGCGACAGGTAGAAAAGCGGCCTTTCAAAGCGTTTCTGAATGCGGAGCATTTCTTAGTTGCACGATCTCGTGCGTCGACGGCCATGCCCACACCCGCTTCACTGCCCCCCTCCCCCCTCCCTTGTATATGTAGGCACTGGATCGCACATCAGCGTTCCACCGCTTGAAGGTAATGCTTCACCATTTAATAAATAAGAATAAGAAAGGATGAAATAACAACTGGGCATTCCCAAACCACATCCAATTACGCAACATTCACGCGATACCCCCCCACTCTGCAACGCACTAGAGTTCCCCCAGTGGGAGGATGCGGACGAAATTTTTTAACCTCCTTGGATAATTGTTAGAAGCACACTTGTGGGGTACCCAATACACCATAAATCATCATTTTTGTGTAGAAGGCAGGCATTCACTATGCCGTCCATCATTCTTCGCAAAGGCGTAACACCCGTTACACACTTGCAAGGAATTTCGCGCAGCTTTTTGATGCTGTGGCCGACGAAGAATCATGCCCGAAACTTTTGTAATGGGTCGGAGCATCGAAAGATGCAGTCGTACCTCAATTCGCGTTGTGTGACGCCTGGTTGTTGCTTTGCTGTTCCAAAACACTTACTCATATTTAGGGGACCCCTTTCCCGACATCATGCCTAAGGCCAGTTTGTAACAACATTTTAAGGCACCTGCGAGGCTCTGTAGTAGAACACTGGATTGGTCCGTGGGGGACTCTGGTTCGAATCTCATTGTGGTCCTTGGCGGACAACTACGATGCACGTGACCCTCGTTTCCGATATCATTACAGCTTTCGCTGTAAAAAAAATATCGGGCAAAAGAACATGCTATGTGATGAAATGAACAGCCCAAACTGACTACAACATTGCACATTTTTGCCTCACATCACGAAGGTTGGCACCGGGATGTTGTACGAAACAGGAATATGTCAATTGTACTGTATATGAGCACCTTCATGTACACTTGCTATTTAAAGCACAACCGTAACGCTGTCCTCGGGATCAACAGCTTTCAAGCAGGTATTCCAACAGCCGATGTTGACCAGAGACCAATAATGAGAAATAAGCATAGCAAACCGTTGACCCCAGAAACATGCAGTATTTTTCGTACCGTAGTAAGTACGCTCAAACCCCATTACAACAAAGCTGCATATTACACGAAAATAAGTTAGATCTGAAAACAGTTATAAAGGTTTATTCCTAAAACTATTTATTATTCACTTTGTTATAACCTATATTTCATTATATCCGGATTCGTTATGTCGAGGTTTGAGTGGTTCACATTGCCTCTCGCGCACCGATCGCCTCATAATTTGCAACAAGTTAGGTATAAAACAACTGCGCATCGACGTGTGTGAAATATTTATTTAGATTTCATTTACCATTCAACCTTATTTTCTGGCCAAAAAGGAAAATTTATGCAGCCTTCCAAGCTTCACAAACAGTAATACGTGACACAACAAGAATCGCAGCACTTAGCATTGTCTAAAAAAAAAGAAAAGGAAGATTTACACTGCAATGTTATTGTAACAAACCCGAATACAACGAAAAGTTGGTTGTAACGAAGTAAATAAAAAATAGTCTTGCAATAAATGTAGTGTTAGAGAAAATACCTTTATAAATATTTTTGGACAAGCTTATTTTAGTGTGATATGCAACTTCCTTATAATGATTCTTGAGTGTACAAGTGTCGCTTAGTCATTACCTAGTTGATGTTTAGATTTTAAGGAAAGCAAATTCACGGCATGTTCAGCTTAGCACAGAGATTGAGGTCCCATTCACAGATGGCAAAATAGAAAAAGGGCATAGTGAGAGGTTAGGATTAAGACAAAATTATAACCCACAGCCTTACCTAGGTTCTTTGCTGAAATAGAAACAAGACCGTTATCTAACCAACAGTTACAGAAAAGAACGCAAGAATTATGCATTCGTTTGCATCAATGCATCAAGTCTCACAGCAAGTTAGGTTAGGTTAATTTGGTTTTTTATGGCGCAAAAGCAGCTAAGGCTATGCTGCGCCAGACGCAAGACTTTCAGGAATGGACGCTAAAAAGATGAGATTTTAAAGCTTATTTAACAGGTTACTTTCTTTCAGAAAGTTTAGCAAGTCAGGCAGAGGTACTAGAGGGTCATCTCCTAGGAACAAAGCAGGGTGTAAAGGTACGTGTTGTTTGTATAGCTTGCTGAAATATTTTTGTCTGTTTCAATGGTAGGACATGTGATTAGGATGTGCATAAGTGTTAACGCTTCTTGGCATTTTTCACACGTTGGTTGTTCTTCCTTTGAGAGTAAGAAGTTGTGTGTCAAGTGTGTGTGTCCAATGCGAAGTCGGCATAATACAACTTCAATAAACCGTTGCTGGTGACGGCAGGTCTTCCATTCCCGAGTGTGGGTTTCACCAGGTGGAGCTTATTGTTCAGTGCAGGGTGTCCCATTGCTTTTGCCATTTTGCTAGTAGGGCCAGGCGAATTGTTCTCTGGATATCTTTAAGGGGAATTTTTACTTTTGTTACTGTTTTATGGGCTGCCTGGGAAGCATACTTATCTGCTTTTTCGTTTCCAGGTATCCCAACATGACTTGGGACCCAGCAGAAACGGATGCAGGTTGCCTGGCTGTTTAAGTATACCATGTTTAGAATGTCGCCTACTATAGGCTCACATTCGGATTTTATATGTAGTGCTTTTAGTGTGCTTAGTGAGTCGGTGTATATGATTGCTTTCTTGTATTTTTCAGCGATGATTTTCCGAACTGCTTCACTCAAGGCATAAGCTTCAGCTGAAAAAATGGAAAAACTACGAGGTACTTTCACAGAAATTGCGCTTTTCGTCGTCACAATCCCAATACCCACGTGGTCCTCCGTTTTTGAGCCATCTGTGTAAAATTCTTCGTAATCCCTATATTCGTGCTGAAGTGTATAAAATTCTTGGATTATGTGTTCTGGTGGGGTGCTTTTTTTGTTGAAACAGCTAAGTGAAAATTCGCATAGCTGTGACAGGTCAAACCATGGCGGCAGTCTTGGTGGTTTAATAGCGACATCTAGTGATTCAACAGGGATGGTATAAAAGCGGCAGTATTCCTCGAAACGTAGGACAAGTGGTTTGATTAGGTTCGGTTTGTTGAGATAGTGTGAGCGCGAGTCACATTTTGCGGCAATTTCATAGCAGATGTGTTCAGGTGACGACCTTATTCTTAAAACATATGACAAGGTTAGTAATGCTCTTCGATCACATAGAGGGGGCTCATTGCATTCTACGTAAAGACTTTGCACAGGTGATGTTCTGTAAGCACCACTTGACAGACGAAGACCGAGGTTGTGTATAGGGTCAAGACGGCGGATGTACGAGTTTCGCGCCGAGCCGTAGACTATGCATCCGTAGCGGAAACCATTTTGGTCGGCCCATTTCGTAAGCCGATTTATTGTAATTTGGAGTTGCCTTTCGCAGGATGATAGGCTGGAGGCTCGGCATGCAATTTGTAGATCATCAACATAGATGGAGTGCATGACTGTACGGGGTATAGCCCTGTTGATGGAGTTCATTTTTACTGTAAACAGGGTGGTGCTCAAAACGCAGCCCTGTGGTACACCATTTTCTTGGACAAATGTTCGTGACAGTACCGTACCCAAACGTACTTGAAAAGTTCTATTCGATAAAAAATCGTGTAAGCAGTTCAGCATTCTTCCGCGAATCCCTAAGTTAGCTAGATCTCTGAGAATTCCGTATCTCCAAGTTGTGTCATATGCTTTCTCTAGGTCAAAGAAGACCGAGAGACAGAACTGTTTGTGTAGAAATGCTTGTCGTATTTCTTGTTCCAGCCTAACAATGTGATCAGTGGTGGAACAGCCCTTTTTGTATCCGCACTGGTGTGCGTCTATTAGGTGCTCCGATTCCAGAGTGAAGGTAAGTCTAATATTTATGATGCTTTCGTAAGTTTTTGCAAGGCAACTTGTTAATGCAATGGGCCTGTAGCTACTTGGGGTTGTTGGGGGTTTACCAGGTTTTAGGAATGGTATGACTATGGCTTTTTTCCAATCTTCAGGCATTATGCCAGAGTCCCATATTTTGTTGAAGAAACGGAGAAGTGCCCGCGCGGATGCTTGGGATAGGTGTGCCAACATTGCGTAGTGTATCTGGTCAGACCCTGTTGCCGTTTTTTTACCGGCAGAGAGTACCCTGTTCAATTCGTGCAGCGTAAGCGGAAGGTTATAACTTTCATTTGAGGTACTGCTAGTAGGCAATCTTTGTCTTTCTGCATTTTCTTTATATTTCAGGAATGTATTGGTGTAATTTGCTGAGCATGATACCTTATAAAAGTGTTCTCCTAATAGGTTGGCCTGGTCTTCTAGTGTTGATTGTGTGTCTGGACTTGTAAGCAGTGGTATTGTGTAGGAGGAGTACTCTCCCTTGAACTTCCTCACCTGGTCCCAGATGTGTTTAGATGTGACTGAACTGTTAATTGATGATATGTATTTTTGCCATGAATCCTTTTCTGCTTGTCTTCGAATAAATCGGGCTCTGGCTTTTGCCTGTTTGAAGTTGATGAGGTTGGCGTAGGTGGGATATCTTCGTAGAATTCCCCAGGCCTTATTTTGTAGTTTTTTGGCATCAGTACACTCGTTTGTCCACCAAGGGTTGAATTTCTTGGGTACGATGCCGGATGATTGCGGTATTGCTTTTTCTGCTGCTAAGATTAAAACTTTGACGAACTCTTCGTTTAGTTTCTCAACAGAAAGCTCCGATGAGAAAACTTCATCGAGCTTAGCGTTTTCTGTGAAAACTGGCCAGTTCGCGAGCTGTAGTTTCCACCGGCGTGGCCTGCTTGTTAGAGTTGGGTAAGATGGTATAAGTTTTATGATGCCGGGCTGATGATCACTGCCATAAGATGTGTTGACGACGTCCCATTTAAAATCATTAAAAATACACGATGAACACATGGCGAGATCTAAGCAACTAAAAGTGCGCGAGGTTGGTGAAAAGTAGGTAAAAGCACCAGAATTAAGAAGGCAGATGTCATTTGTTAAAATGAAATCTTCCACGGCTTGCCCTCTTGCGTCAGTTTTGTCGCTACCCCAAAGGGTTGAATGAGCATTGAAATCCCCAACTAGGATAAATGGTTTTGGCAACTGTTCCACTAGATTTTCTAGGTGTTTGGTGGTGAAAAGGGTGTGAGGTGGGATATACAGTGAGCAGATGGTGATGGTTTTGTATGATAGGATGGTGACGGCTACGGCCTCGAAAGATGTGTTTATTTGGACATCTCGCGTAGGAGTGCTGCCCTGCACCACTATGGCTACTCCTCCTGAAAGACTGTTGCAATGTTTGCGGTCCTTTCGGGCAACTTTGAAGCCTTTTAGGAAGTGGCTGTGTTTTGCACCAAGATTTGTCTCTTGGAGGCAAAAGGCTACTGGTGAGAATTTGTTAATGATGTCCTTTATGTCACCTAAGTTATGAATTAAGCCTGTACAGTTCCAATGTACAATAAAAGCCATGGCAGAATAAAGTTAAGTAAATATACTTGTGGGGATTGATCGGTATAAAAGATGATAGGTGACAATATTAAGAAATAGAAAGAAATACGATAACCATTACGGTTATCGCTTACTTATTGTGGTTACTGGGACTTTGTCCTTGTCCTGTTTGGTACGCTCGAGAGAGCGCTTTTCCTTCGGTGTCGACGACACCGGAGTTTTGTGGTCGATCTCCATTGCCTAGTCTGAGGCGCTGGAAGATCGAGAGTGAGGCGCTGAGAAACGGATCTCAGGCCTTGGCGCTCTATTGAGTTTAGGGCCCAGGGAGACCGGAGTCTGCGGGCCCTTTGATGTGCATGGAGCAGCTGGCGCTGCTTCTTTTACGGGGGCGGTTTGAGTCACCATACAACCACTGGGTGTGGTAGCGGTCGACTCCTGAGGCCTTTGTGACGCTGCCCCCGACTGCGTCACATCGGCGTAACTTCTGTGGAAAAGGTACGATAGCCGTGTTCGCGCTTCGCTGAATGATATTTTTTCTTTGACGGTCAGAGCGATCACTTCTTTTTCTTTTTTCCAACATGGGCATGACCGGGAATACGCTGGGTGTTCCCCGTCACAGTTAACACAGAGGGGTGAGGATTAGCAATTTTCTGATTTGTGGTCGTTTGCACTGCATTTTGCGCATGTTTCTTTGCCTCTGCAAGAGTGCGAGGCGTGTCCGAATCTCTGACATTTGAAGCAGCGCCTGGGGTTGGGAATGTAAGGTCTGACATTTATTTTTAAGTACCCAGCCTTAAGAGAGGTGGGCATTTCACATGTTCCAAAGGTTAGTATTACGTGTTTGGTGGGCACTTCCTGATTATTGCGACAGATTACTATTCTTTGGACTTTTATGAGATTTTGGTCTTGGAATCCTTCGAGGAGCTCTTCGTCACTAAGGCCTAAGAAGTCTTCCTCAGAGATTACTCCCCTGCTGGTATTTAGAGAGCGATGAACCGAAACGGTGACAGCTGTTTCTCCAATGCTGGTTAGTTGGGATAGCTTAGGCACTTGGTCTTTTTCGGTTAGCTCCAAAAGGAGGTCACCGCTTGACATTTTGGATGCTTTGTAAGTGGGTCCTATTTTTTCTTTTAGGCACTTGGCCACCAAAAATGGGGATAATTTTCTTAGAGGTGTGCTGTCACTGTGGATAATGTGGTACTTCGCGAAAGTAAATTTGGTTTCTTTCGAGACGTGATAACTTCCTTCGGTGCGGCCTCTTTTGCGAGACCGATCAAGGTCGGCGGATGCTTGTAAAGCCATACAAGTATGAATGTGTTCGGTAACAGCGGCGACCACCCACCACGGAGCCCAACAAGGGGACGCAATTGGACTTGTTGAAACAAGCCCTCCCGACGCCAGCCGTACGCTGTCACTATAACCCAATGTAATTATCCAAGGTGGGATACCTACACAAGGTTAACCCTTGCCGCCATGAATATCGGAAGTAAACGGAAGAGAGTAGAAGACAGGACAGGTATATAGTAAGAGATAAAGACGAAGATGTAGGGAGAGAGAGATAGGAAAAGGCGACTGCCGATTTCCCCTGGATGGGTCAGCCCAGGGGTGCCGTCTACGTGAAGCCGGGGCCAAAGGGGTGTGTTGCCTCTGCCAGGGGGCCTTAACGGTCCAATCACCCAGCATCGGCTCAACCCCCAGGATCCCCTTTTCCCCGGACACGGCAAAGCCACGCACGGCTAGGCGTGGGAGGGCGTAGAAACTCCCCCGTTAGCTCGGGTCCGTGGGGTCGCTACACACCAAACGCCTACTTGCGCAGGCGCCCCTGCGGGGCTCACAGCAAGTAGAGTAATTACTCAATTGTAACACGACCGCAATTGAATGCGAGGGGCAACTGTTCCCCCATCCAGAAAGAAATAAAATAGTTATTTTAGCATTTGGTCATAATGTGAGCATTGACTTTAGATAGCAAGAAAATGGAATAAAAAAAACTGATTACTTTCAAATAAACACAGTAATTATCGGCAATTGTCTACTATGTATTCCACATTGTTGAGGCGATGCAGACTAAGATCGGCCAAGTGAGAGGCGGTAATCTTTGCGTGACATTGCTCTAACTTTCACATGATTGCCAAGATAAGATGTCCGTGACTAACAATTCATGTCGTATTCTGCTCAACACGAAGTTCGAGCGAATTGTGCGCATTTTGCAGGTGGAAAAAATAGCAAAAGTGCGGACTGAATGGTTATGATTAACGTGTACCGATATTCTACAGCCTTAACAAGGTTCAACACTGAAACAGAAACAACACCATTCTCTATTATATAACATGCCAGGTACAGAAAACAACATGGGAATCAAGTCAATCTTCAGATCAAGTAATCGAGCGAGAATGTCAGAAATTTGTTGCACGTTATTTAGGCAATATAACCTGAGAACAACAGTGCAAGCAAAGTCTTGTGCAGGAACTTACTTTATCTGGTGGGTGTCCGAAAAGCTGACGCGCTTGGACAGTCGGCGCCGCTCGGTGAGATCTTCGGTCTGCAATGTTAGGAAAGGGCATCGTTTTGCATTGGCTAAGCATAAAATGGTCAATGTCCCACGAGTTCGTGTTGACTGCTACGACACGTACAGGTGGCAGATGAAGTTTAAAGAACACATAGGCTGAGAAAAAGTCGAACTGTTACAGTATAAGCATTGCAATACAGTGCCACTAGAGCACCTTGTTTACACTCAACATTACATTGCAATGTAACTACATTAACGATTGTTATAGTCACTTTAAATTAGAGATCAAGAATTTGTTCATAATACCTAAGTTTCACAGTACTTTGACTTCCTGCCAGTGCTATTTAGTACTACATTACTTATACTTGAAGAGTGCGCGATAGGTGTGACCTGTTCCATGCGACGACACTGTGCAAGACACTCGTGCCCAAGGGTACTCACGGCATTTTCAACGCTCTCGAGGACTGGCCTAACAGGCTTGAGAATCTGTGAAAAACAAGTAAAAAAGACAGCAAGAACAATATTCGGTGAATAGAAAATGCAGAAGCCCGTGATTAACTAAGAAAACGGGTACAAGTGAACAACGGCATATCCGTGCATGACGTACAACTTGCTTTACAGCTACCATTTCCTTCCTTCGCGATGGGAATTGGACCTTCATGCATGCACAACACTTGCAATTATTACAGGCAACAACAACTGTCATGTGATTACACGAAGACAATCAAATCTGGCAATGTGAATGGCAAGTCATTTCAACAAAATGAGGTTGCTGCTCCGAGACGTCCGAGCAGCTAGAGTCTTCCTTTCACTCCTTTACCTCTTCCCCCTTTATGCCTGATCAACAATGAAATTGTTTCACTCACTCATATTGTCATACCACATACGACTGATGAGCTCACCGTCGGGAGAGAATCCGATTGAAAAGCGAAGCGTACGACCATGCATGACACATCTTGGAGGACCACATCTCTAAGGTCGTCAGGGCTGGGTTTTTGTGCAGAAGACCACTGAGATTAGTTAGATTCAAAAGCCTTGTTGAAAAAAAATGCACACACTACATGCATTGTGGGAAACTACGCTGGAAATCGCACGAACCAGCCAGGTGAGATGATTGCCAGAGAAGATGCACTGCCTCTCTGTCACCATAGCAGAGTAGAGCAATAGTTTTACAACACCCAAGAACTGTTATCGCAAGATGCACTTGATCAGAGTGCCCCCCCATTAAAAGCTGCATTATATTCTATAGCAGGGTTTTAACGGAATCCCTGCCTACAAGACCGATTCGCGAGTCCACCACCTGTGCAAGAGGGCACACCTGCCAAGCTTTTTCAAAGTACTCAAGGCACATTTGTAAATGAATGTTTGTCATCTCCGACTAAACGCTTATGGCAGAGCACGAATTATAACAGGTGATGAAATATGTTGCGATGGTACCGCGTCCTATCATAAACCAGCAAACACGATCACCCTTATGTCATGTATTGATTGTTAAGCAAGCTCATTAATAATTACTAATGCACTTGCATATTTTGCTGTATATTTTGTAATTACCCCGCTCACGTAGCCATAGGTGGTCCTCCTGTATGTTTCTCTGAAACTTTAGGACCCCCTGTTGTGACATTCAAACCATGTAAGTCAATCGATTTAAAATTTGATTGATTTGTGGGGTTTAACGTCCCAAAACCACCACGTGATTATGAGAGACCCCGTAGTGGAAGGCTCCGGAAATTTAGACCACTTGGGGTTCTTTAGCGTGCACCCAAATCGGAGCATTTTCAATTCATTGATCTATTAAAAATCGTAACATATCTACGGAGTGAATGATGATGAGTGGGGCAAAGCGTCCGTCCATCTATTTGTATGTCCGTGCATGCGTCCGATTGTGTTCAAGAATACAGACAGTGCGCGGCTAACACCGACGAGACGTGAGCCAAGGAAGCCGAGCCCAAGCGCCTTTCACGCACCCACCGCTCTGCTGCTCTGCTTCGTCCATGCCCCACTAACGATTCGCCACGTACGGCGACTATTCAAGAGACAGAGAGGCACTCGGGCAAAGCGCACGCAGCAACCAATCAGGGAGTAGCCCCACTTTGGAAAGTAGCGGCAGAGTAACGCCGCCTAGGAAATGAGACGAGAAATGGTCATCCATTTCTTTTGGAAATGGTCATCCATTTCTTTTGCCTTCTTTTCTTTTCCTTCTCTTCTTTCGGTTATGCAAGACCAGTGACAAGGTTAGACTAAAAAGAGCTTTCCCGTAATAAACTTGACTGGACAAATGAGTACGGCAAAATGCAACTGTGCTAAACACGCGTGTGTGCTCAACGTCCCTAAAACCAGCAAACGTAACCAATTGAACTATCAAATTATTTTTTCTCTAGTCGCCAATGGCTGTGGGCAGAGTTTATAATTTCTCACCCAATTACTTTGCAAGAATTAACTGCGCCTGTGGCAAAATTATTCTATCGTGAAACCCCCCAACTCACACGTACACACCCCTTTTTCAATTTCCGGGCTGCCTTTTGCCATTTTAATCGCCAGGTCAACTGGTTATGCCAGAGTGAAAGCCTCCAATATCAGAAGTCGTTTCACGATTTTTCCGCTGGGGAAATGGTGCATGCACCGTGGCATCATGATAAAGACTGATAGGAAAAAAAGGACAAGCATGCGTGTATTTGTCTAAAATACATAAATTAACAAGTAGTAACACAACGTAAAGGAACCATGCGCAATTGCTGTGCTCGTGCTCGTCAGAGCATGGGCGTAACCAAAAATTTTTTCGGGGGAAGGAGAAGAGGCCTTTTTTGAAATGGTCATTTCTTGCTCTCTGTGAAAATCCAGCCACAGCCAGGTGGCACCTCGAAAGAGCACACGTGACACCGCCAAACGAGTTGGCAGAGAAAGTCCTAGTAGGACAGGGCCACTGGGCCACGTTAAACGCTTACGGAACGTTGCGCTACACGTTGTCGGTTGTGTCTACTTTTGTGCTGCGTCTTTTTTTTTTCCCCGCAGAATTGACCTCAAAGAACAGAGTTCAGGCGCATTGTTGAAGGCGATCGACTGGGAGGTGCGATTGGAGAGCAGGATGGTGTAGCGGAAGAGCAGTGAAGCCACCAATTATCTTGCAGTGCAGCTTCAGGAGTGTCGTGTACGTGGAGGGGTACTTTCGCAACAGTGCACTGTTGAAATGATGCAAGCTCTTGATGTTTTCGGTGCGGAGAAAACTGTGCAGCAACAACTCACATTCCGAGACGGCAGCCAAATGCCACTGGCAATGCCACACAAGCATCATACAGCGTGACAGCACAGGTAAGTGTATCTTGGAATTGCGCATGAAAGAGCTTGGCTCAGCGTGCTGCCTGCACATTATTTTGCCGCCTTTCAATGACAGCTATTATCTCAACATAATTGAGGATTGGTACGGCCAAGTGGCAGCTCATTTCATCAAGACATTTGCATAATCGGCAGTGCACGCAGGTGAGATGCCGTTTCTTGTAACGCTTTCTATGTTTTGAACAGTGCCAATAGCAGAAGACTCGTGCACAATTGGTAGTTAAAGTTTTCGTAGTTCGTCAACTCCCAGGTGCGAATCTCATATCGCGCTTGTGATATGTGGGGTTAAACGTCCCAAAACCACCATATGATTATGAGAGATGCCGTAGTGGAGGTCTCGGGAAATTTCGACCACCTGGGGTTCTTTAACATGCACCCAAATCTTAGCACATAGACCTACAGCATTTTCGCCTCTATCAAGAATACAGCCGCCGCAGCCGGGATTCAATCCCCCAACCTGCGGGTCTGCACCCAAGTACCTTAGACACTAGAGCACCGCGGCAGGGCTCGTACCCCACTTTTAATCGGATTGTTACGCACAATGAGTACTAGAAGTAGATACTCTTACACAACCAGTTACAGCTCTCCTAGCGCATTCACGCACTGGTGAGAAGACCTTTTTGCGATATTTGCGCCATTTTGAACAGTATACACCTAATCAATCTTCATTTCACTTTCTTCGTAGCTGATGGCGAAGTGCGAGGTACGCACATCAACCTACACTTGCAAAGCCGGCGTGAGCGGAAATCGCAAACACATTGCAGTGGTTGAACTTTGGGTGAACAATTCTGACTAGCCATCGTCCACAGACTGATTACAAGCTTGGGATCGGCCGTCATCGAAACCGGACACGTCAGCAAAAGAGCTCGTTGAGGAACTTTTTGGAGATAGGCACAAAATGAATCATTGCAGTGTGCTGATAAGATACTGTGTGCGCGAGAACTGCTGAATATCGTCGCCTATGCGATTTATTCAGTAATTTATTTTTGCTAGCATGTCTAGAACTGTGCAAATAGAAATTTATTGAAATTAAATGCACAATTCTCAGCGTGATTGTACATACCTAGGCTGTAACGCGCTTGCTAAGTTTTGTTGTTTTACAGCTTCAAGGTTGCCGCTACTCTGTCTTGTACAGCCTCAACAGGAATGATGTTCAAGTTCGCGCATCCTACTCCATAGTATCCATTGCCATCCCACTATTCGTTTTGCAACAAGGCCACCAGAGTGGCGCAACATGTCAAAACAAACTCCTGTGCTGGAAGCCAATGCCATGGCGAAAAATTCACGGGGGAGAGGGGGGAGGCACGGGCCACTGTACCTGCTAATGCATACCAGGTATTAAGCCAATGAAAATAAATAAGGAGGGATTGCCAACGAATACCCAAAGCAATTAATTTGAAGAAAAGCCAATTGATAAAATTAAATTGTGGGCTGGAGGTAACGCGTAGGTGTCCCAAAGGCTCCCCGAGCACCGAGACTCGCACGGGGCTTTAATAGGAGAATAACGGGGCAGAGACGGCTAGGCCACGCCCAGTTTGAAATGAAATGAGCTCAAAAATGAAAGGTTTGGAAAGGGAGAACAAAATAAATACAATGTAAAACAAAAACTAAGAGGTAGCACAGGTTGTCTCGCGTTATAGTAGGTGAAGAGCGTTCGTGCACCAGGTGCACGTCAAAGAAAAAAAGAAAAATACAGTGTCTGTAATGTAAAGCAGGATGCTAGTTCGTGGACCAGGTGCATTTCTACGTGACCCCCAGCAGAACCTCCCGGAACAGAAGCGGCGCGCTTGCACCTTGGTCGGGTGTGTCCGCAGGCAGGGTGGCTCGAGTGGCAGGACCGACCTAACTATAGAGGGAGCGTGACGGTTGCTGGTGTGATGGTGTGTCGCACTAGTGCATCGAGTGCCCACCAGCGAAAATGCAGGGGCCACGCCCCCGAGATACAAAACCTCTCACCGTGTAGGGTCAACAGGAGGACGTGGCCCGCGCATCCCTACGGCACGCACCTTCAGATGTCTGATGTGTGCGACTAATATGCGCGCATGTGGCACTCTGTCTCCTATGACATTCGCCAAGACGTGGACGAGAAAAAGGCCAGACGCAACGCTAGCGTGAAAGGTCCGGTATGGCGTCACTGATGGAGTGAACCAACT